ATTATTTCTATTCTTCTGATCAAGGGTCAACATGTCTTTCCAAACTCCAACCACAAAATGCACGACCGAAATTCCTACCCTTGGCCAACTTGAGGGTTTTCAATTTGCGAATGGTGTCCAACAATACTGTGGAATACCATATGCTGACCTGCCTAAACGGTGGACAAGATCGACTCTCAAGACTTCCTGGACAGGCTCTAAACATGATGGAACAAAATTGGGGTAAAGCTCTCTATATCTCGTGTTCGCCGCATATTAACTAAAGCGCATACAGCAACGACTGTCCTCGGCCCTACTCCGAAGGCGACGACAGCGATGACCTTGTTCCAGTGCCACCACCTGCTCACTTTCCGGTTACTCCGAAAACAGACGAACTAACTGGGCTTGTGATGAACATCGTTATTCCCTTCGCCCCAGCCTCCGACAGGCGAAGTCTTCCGGTCATGGTATACGTCCACGGAGGCTCCTTACTTTACGGAGGTGCAAACCTCCCCATCTTCGACGCTGTAAGCCTCGTTTCACAGAGTATTGAGATGGGGAAGCCAATAATATGTGTAAATTTCAATTACCGCGTCGGACTCGGAGGCTTTCTCGCAAGCGAAGCCATACGCCGTGAGTTGCAAGATGATGGGTTTCAGGGCTGTGGGAACTTCGGCTTCACTGACCAGAAAGTTGCATTTGACTGGGTTCAACGGTATATTGCGACCCTCGGCGGAGATCCCGATAATGTCACTGCAGTGGGGGAGTCTGCTGGTGGGATATCGATCAGTAACCAGCTTGCAGCTACTCGTCCACCAAGTTTCCGGCGCGCCGTCTGTATGTCTGGACTTTCTGTGTCGATTCCTCCTTGGAGTATGGAGCAACATGAGGCTCTCTTCCAGGCCGTTTGTCGATATTTCAAGATAGATGCTTCACAATCCGATGTATTGGATCGGCTCCGGCAGATTCCGCAGCAGGACATGGCGAACGCGACCCCGGCTATCCAAGGCGTCCTTTCGGGAACAGGAAACCCTTGTCTCGATGGATGGTTTTATCAGAACGATCCCTGCGAGATACAAAAGGCACCAACATGGCTCGAAGCCTTGAAGATTGGGGATACATACCACGAGGGGGTCATTTTCCATCTTAATCTTCTCGAATACGATTTAGCTTCCATTCGCCGAACATTGTTAGATCATATTAACAATGACGACGAGACAGACCAAATCCTGAGAGAATATGACATACACCAGGCGCTTCCGCATGACATACTTCTCGAGCGCGTGGAACACATGTGCGGAGACGCGGTTTTCAAGATTCCCAACTATGCCACTGCGCTAGAAAACACTACGCTTCGCGATAAGGGTGGTCTATTCCTGTACCATTTCGACCAGCGCTCTCGCCTCAAGAACCCGCTAGAGGGAACAGCCTACCATGCCCATGAGCTTTTGTATCTTTTCAAGAATCTCGAGACGGAATTGGATGAGGGAGAAAGTGGGATGGCGGAGAGTTTTGCTGCTGCTTGGATTAGATTCTGCAATGGGGAGGCGCCATGGTCAGCACGCAAGGGAGAATGGAAAGTATGGGGACCAGATAGTGATCAGTCTGTTAAGAGCGAAGACGAAGATGAAGAGACCAGATCATATCAACGGATGAAGCGGATCCTGGCCATGGGCAACGGAGAGACTTGGAAACGATGGCTTGCTGGGGTGGATGTGCTGGTAAATAAGAGGATGAATATGGGGAAGGCGGCATAAGATCTCTAGAATAGTATTTGACAATAATCAATAAGAATGGCTGGGTTATTCTTTTGATTTCACAAAATCCGAACCTCTGAATCGATCGCCAGGCCCTTTTCTAGTTAAATTCCACCTATTGTACTACAGGTGTGAGCGCTCTTGCACATGACGCATCAGAACAGCCTTCTTGACCCTATCTTCCGTCACCAGCATTTGCTCTGGAAACCACGAAAGATCCGTAGACTCAGTCTCGAGCAAATTATCATCATTGATCAGCAGCATTGTCGCCAATGATTTGCCACACAACCATGCCAGCACCATTCCCTCCCCTGAAAAAGCAGCGGATACCCATTCAGCACCCTGTTCTTCATCATGAAGTCCCCTCTGGGTTGTCGAACCAGGAAGCCGTCCTACCCAGGGGAGTCCATCTGCACTAAATCCCATATTTCCCGTCCACATCTCCTCCACGCTCTGTCGGGCAACGCTGCCCCAATTTTTACGGCCAAATACCGCACTTAGTGCACCCGATAGGTGAATATCAGCATACAGACTGATTTCTGAGTCTGTTGCAACGCCCATATCAGCAATTCCACCTCCCCCTCCCTGAGCAAAACCTCCACCGAACATCATCATCTGTCCGGCCTCTGATTGCGGCAACTGGGTGAGATAGTCGAATCCACGATCGTAATTAAAGATCCAGGAGTGCTCCTTTCCCTGACACCGGAATTTCTGTCCCGGGTGTTGCGCCGACATCTGTCCGCGTATAGGATAAATGCGACCTCTCAAGCCAGGTACGAGGTGGCCAACATGAGCATTTGTACAATGAATGACATGACGAGTGCGAACAACACCCCTAGATGTAGAGATAGAGTATCGCAAACGCGAGTTACCTTCCTCACTCACGTCCTCCTCGATACCAGTCACAGGCGTATTCGTCTCAATCAGCAGATCTCGCGGGAACTCTTCCTTCAATTGGCCCAAGACACCAGTGACAAATCTATAAGGCCAAATGGCCCCTCCTGGGCCAGCAACAATCCCCAACGCACGAGGAAGACAGAATTCTTCTGGGATCTCCTCCCTTTCATATATCTTCCACTCCATCGTCTCCTCCGGTAACCCCGCCTTCAGCCGGCGTACCCGCTCTCGGGCATCTTCCCACCCATCTTCATCGAAATAGACGCTCAGAAACTGTACCCTTCGCGCTTGACAGTGCTCAGTAAGTCCATACTCCTCCGCGGTATCAAGCATCTCGCGTAAATGCGCTAAGCGAAATTTCATGATCTTCTTCGCTGCATCAGTGCCGTGCATATCCTCAAGATCGGCGAATTCCTCCGCCGTCTCGAGAATATGTCCGCCATTTCGGCCGGTCGCGCCACTGCAAACGTCGCGTGCTTCGAGGATCACCACGCATGGTCTTTGGCTGTCATTCTGACTCTTCTCAGTCTTTCGGGATTTGAGAAGCGTCCTTGCGATCGATGTGCCGGTTACTCCAGAGCCAATGATCACGACGTCCGCTTCTGATGGTAGAGTCGCGGACTGGGCTGTTGCCAGTTCAGGGTGTGGAGAGCGCAACCAAAAAGATGAGGTCGGGTTCGCTGATGGGAGACCGGGGTCAGCAAAGGCTCTGTAGAGGGCTTTTTGGCGGTCTTTGGCCGGGATTGCTGGGTTGGTGAGTTGAGCTTGTACGAAGGCCATGATGGTGTGTATTGATGGGGAGTGATGCTTGGTCTGGATATGGTTGCGATGTAATGATCTTGCTCCTCTTCAACGAAGCGGGGCCATCTACGGTAAATTGTATCGATCTTAGTAAGGCAGGATTGGCTTCTTAGCTTCCAAATCGGACTCCGCGGAGAGCGAAAACTTCCTCGATAGCGCAAGGAGTTTGTGATAGTCGCATGGACTTGATGGTTATGGTTAGAGAAATTTTTGTTCCGGAAGGTTGAACCGAAGGCTATCTTTGCCTTTGATTCTCATTCTCGGGTATCTTGTAGCCTCCTTAACTGTCTTATCGAGGGTCGACCTACCAATTAGGGTAATAAGCTATCCAGACCCCAGTATGAGGAAGCCCTGCGGGGTAAACACGGTAGATATATTTGGCGTTCAATAAGCTAGAAAATTAATTATAAGTATTCACGGGCAGAGGGTTGATACCATATTATTATCGGCATCATACAGATACCACTATTACACTGAATAATTATTAACATTCATAGTATTCTATTGCATCAGACTATCACAATGACCGCGAAAACCGCCGACTCCCCGGGAAACACCTACTATCCTAAGAGTCCCCCGATGCGTCGCCCAGGTCTAACATTCCTGTATCGACTTGAATGCACCATCGCCGCAGAAGAAATCAATGTTGGGGCACCCCACGGCGCAGGCATCATTCGCAGCATCGCAAATGTTACTGGAGGTACCTTCAAAGGACCAGAACTTGAAGGGACAATACTTCCCTTGGGAGGAGCAGATTGGGCAACAGTCGTTGAGGGAACACACGTGAGTTTGTTCATCATTGCTGAATTATCCGAAAAACAACTAACAAAACCAGTCCATGACCCTCGACGCCCGATACACTATCAAAACTACAGATGGTCACCACCTCTTCGTGCAGGCGCATGGGCTCTACCGTCCTGGACCGGGAACAGAGTACGCGAAGCAGGTCGCAGATGATCCGGCGATGAGGCCTCCGCCCACCGTTACTCAGGATGATGTTGAATTTTTCTCGCATCTGCGGATTGAAGCGGGTGGGGGCAAATACAACTGGCTGAATGGGTTGGTTTGCATTGGAGTGATGAGTTGCGAGAACGATAGGATTATTATTGATGCGTATTATTTGACGAACTTTGGGGGTGTTAGGCCGGATAATGTTGTTGTTAAGAAGTCATCTCTCTAAAACATTAGATTACCTCCTTGGGGTTGTGTCGTTTCGAGTGAATGAAGATGTACAAGATGACAGTATGATTCTACTTGCTCCTTCGGTTCTGATCAGTATTATTAGCGGCACATGTCCCGAGGTTGATTCCCTCGTCCTCATAATGTTAACCGATATTTAGAGCCGGATATGTCTGTATACGTCAGTGCGTCAAACTAGCCTATTCAGGAAGGTCGACGCACTTCTACTGGGTCACCCTACACAATGGGTTGTTTCAATAGTAGTCATGCTAACGTCTTCCAAAGTGGAGTAACAGATATCTAGATGAGGGGTTACAGATAACCATCCCCGCACTATATAACTCTAGGCTGCATCAAGTACAACAACGCACATACATCAATCACAAGATGACCCAAACAGCTTCTACAAGAGAGGACTGGCGCACTCTCGTGGCCCGAAAGCGCAAGCAATTAGACGCACAAATCCCTTCCGAATGGCGTCTAACTGAGAAGTTTCTTGCAACAATCCCCGCCAATGGCCGCCTTATTGAAGCCGATGTGGTCCGAGGCAGTGGTATTCTGTCTGAGAAGGAGCTCAGTATTACAGAGAATTATTCTGCGACTGAGCTTCTAGACGAGCTATCAAAAGGGGCTGTAAGCTCCGTTGATGTTACAACTGCGTTCTGCAAGAGGGCAGCTATTGCCCAACAGCTTGTATGTTCCTCCATTCTGAACATACCTAGTCTGTTTTGGATATTTTACTGATATGATTTAGACCTCATGCCTGACGGAGCATTTCTTCCAGCGGGCTATTGAGCGTGCTGAATTCCTTGACGAATACCTCCAGCGAGAGAAGAAACTGTTCGGGCCGCTGCACGGCCTTCCTATCAGCATCAAAGACAGTTTCTGTATTGAGGGCGTTCAAAGCACCGTTGGATATGTCAAATTCCTTGAGAATAGCCCGGCTTCACACAACTCAGCCATCGTCGAAATGCTACTGAATCTCGGTGCTGTGCTCTATGTCAAGACGAATATCCCACAGACGATGATGGTCAGTTACCACCATTTCCTCTTCACTATCTTTCAACACTGACATAGTTTTAGACAGGAGACTCAGAAAACAACATCTTCGGTCGAGCCCTGAGCCCCCACAACACCAACTTGACTGCTGGCGGCTCAAGCGGAGGCGAAGGAGCTCTAGTAGCATTCCGCGGCTCAATCCTAGGAATCGGCACAGACATTGCAGGATCAATCCGCATCCCCTCCCTCTGCTGCGGTGTGTATGGCTTCAAACCTAGCATTGACCGCATCCCATGGGGCGGCCAAGTAGCCGATATAGCCATGGAGGGAACTCCCGGTCTTAAGCCGTCCGCGGGACCACTTGCTCATAGCCTGAATGATATCGAACTATTTGTGTCGACCATCATAAACGCCGGGCCCTGGAAATACGACAGTACCGCAAGCGCAGCACCCTGGTCATACCCAAAGACCTCAGCTGATGAGCCCAGGCAACTTACCATCGGCATCCTCCCCGAGAGCAAGGACTTTCCCCTGCATCCACCCGTCAAGAGAGCGCTGCAGACCGCCATATCCGCTCTGAAAAACAAAGGCCATCGTATAGTTTATCTCTCAGAAACCCCCGGCATTGACTTCGCATATGCGAACCGTCTCGCCTTCCAATATTTCATCTACGGCCCACACACCGACCACATTGCAGCCAGCGGCGAACCACCCGTGACATCTGTGGCAAAGATGTCCTCACCCATGTTCACGGGTCCATTTCCAGTAGATATGGAGTTACCGCCGTTCGAGAAGATAGATGCATTGCATAAGGCACGCAAAGCATATGCCGAGGCCTGGCGAAAGACATGGGTTGAGAACAATCTAGATGTCCTTCTTGCGCCCGGGGCGCAGAATACGGCTGTTCCACATGATACATTTGGATGGCCACCGTATACCGTGGTTTGGAACTTGCTTGATGTGAGTGTACCCATATACTACCTCTTAGGCAGTTCGGGGGACTGTGTGGCTAATGAAAGTGTAGTACCCTGCTTGCATTATCCCGTATGGCAAGGCTTCGAAGGAGCTTGATCCTGAGCCGATGGCAATTACTGATGGGGTTCAGCCTAGTTGTGAGTTATATACCTGTAGATAATGCTCTCACTTTGAGGGTGTAATAGCTAATATTTGATGTCTAGATGACCCGGATGCAGTTGATGGGGCACCATGTGCGATCCAGGTAATTGCACCTCGGTTTCAGGATGAGAAGTGTCTTTCAGCTGCGAGAGTTATTGATGAGGATATTCGATGATGGAGCTAGCATATTGTCCTATAGTTTATTAGATCCTTTTGTTGACTTTCTATTCCTACTCCAAGAACGTTTTTAGGTTACATTATGCCCATGCGCCAACCGGTTGACCCAAGATCTATCGCATCTAGTCGGCCAGCCGACAGAGACATGACTCAACATATTACTACTACCTATGATCAAGTACAGTAACTGCGAATAATAATCTGCTTTTATTTCTATTCAAACAAATAGTCTCTATCACTCTATAAAAGATCCTGCAAGTCTAAAGCATATATCTGAAAGTAGGAGACTTGTCCCCCATCTCACCAAGTTCCTGTGCCGAATATTCCGGCCGAAGCTCCACCAATTTATCCACACGCTGTCGGTTGATGCGCACATATGCAAACCTCGTAATCACAATAGCCACCACGCCCATAATTCCAAAGGCAAGTTCCAGCGCATGACCCATGATGTATTGCGGGGAGTCGCGCGTGCGATAAAAATGGGAAGCCATGGCTAATATTCATTAGCACGTTCTGCCTGAACGTCTTCATAAATTGGAAAATGGGTAATTACCTCCTGCAAAGTTCCCAATGCCAATGTGTATCGCCATTCCTGCTGCTCGTTTATGTTCCGCGGCGAGATTGCTGCTTAGCCACGTTATGAGGGCGGGAATAGCGGGGTAAATTCCTTTTGCTTATTAGCATGGTCGACAATATATGTGGAATCACATGGGGACATACCTAGAATCGCAAGAAACACCCCAAAGTATACAAGTCCCGGAACCCATCTTTGCGATCCTGCCAGACAGACGAAAAATCCGGCGACAATGCAACCGATGTGGAAGAGCAGAAGGGGTGAGCGCTCGCCATTGCGGTCTGCAAAATATGCTGCTAGAATGGCAGCCATGGAAGCAATGATGTACGGGGGTACCTAATCAGTCAGTCATGATACACGTTGCGGTTGTTGATGTTCAGGGCCATTTACTGTGAGAAGCTGCGCAGTAGAAGATGTATATCCTAGATCGCGGATTATGGTGGGTAGGAAGAACGAAATCCCGTATAGCGGACAGACGGCGGAGAAGTAGACTGGGATCGTTAGAAGAGGTCTCACCGGTCTGATGGAGGAGCATACTAAGAATGGCCATATAGACCTGCCAATCCTTGGCCGCATCCCACACATACTTCCACTTGAAGTCACCAGCCTCGGGGACCACATTGCCATTGTTGGAAAATTGTAGACTCAAGCGGCGCAGAATCCAAGCTCGTTCGTCTCGGGTCAGAAAGGATGCCGTATCAGGGTAATCGTAGAGAAAGAAGTATGACATGACAGCCACGACAACTGTTGCGAGCCCTTCGATAATGAATATCCAGCGCCAGCCGGAGTACCCGCCAACACCGTTCATTTTCTGACTTGTTAGAATTGCACAGCAGATAAAGTTCCATAACTTACACCGATCGCAAATGCAAGTAACCCCGAAAAGGCACCTGCAATACTCGCCGCGCTGAAGCATAAGGCTTGGCGGAACTGAGCTTCATGACGAGAGTACCACATCGTGATATAATAGGCCACCCCGGGGTAAATGCCCGCTTCTTCATGATGTTAGGATACATCATTTCTTGTGGTTGGTGGAGGGCATACCTGTGGCACCGAGGAATATCCTCGCTATCAGAAGACCGTGGTAGTTGGTCACGATACCCATTAGAGTCTACGGACAATTAGAGTCGTACTAGCTCGGCGAACGGGAACGAACCATCACCGTCCCCCACGCCACCATCAGTGACGGTATCCATATTGAGGGCCTGACTTTCTGCAAGATAAGGTTCGATGGTAGCTCGAACACGGTGTATGTGAAAAAAAAGACGGTCACTATACAATCAGAAAATTATCAACAATATGGCCGGCTCTACCTACGTGCCCAGTTGTACTGTGTGCCTCCGAGATGCAGATCTTCCTCCATGCCTTCAATTCTGGCGTTTCCGATATTACCCCGATCGAGGAATGAGAATAGGTATAGGAGGGTTAGCATCGGCATGAGACGGAGATCCATCTTGCGCAGGAGCTTTCGCTCGTCGATGTGGTCGAGATTACCCTCGACATGATTGATGTCGCGGCATACTGTTTGGATTCCATTGCGTCGCTTAGACTGTTTCTCGGTCCTCATGGCGAGGTCGGACAACTGAGCTGCTTGCCTTGTGAAGCCACGGAGGATCCTTGATGGCTTTGAGCCGTTGAAGGTCTCATGGGACAGCCCATGAGTTTTGATTGATGCAAGTCTATTAGTGTGGCTGAGGAACTATGTAAGGGGCTAGGGAATGTGGGCGAGAAGATCATTATTCCATTCGTTCCTCACAGAAAGCTTCCAGCGATAGGCTAATTCTTCAACGGGCATCAATTTTGCATTGAACATTTCGTATGCATGGGTCCGTTCCCGCCATCCTAAACGCTAAGAGTAGATCATATGCCCAAGGCAAAGGCAGCAATAATGCATGGGTGCGTATGGTCATCATTTAGAAGTGAGACAAGTTACGTCTCCTTTGGTATCTCAGAAGGCAAATAGAGTGTTGTGATCTGCGAGCAATGTTTGCTAATCGGCGATCTTCACAACGAGAGTTAAATGCATCTCTGCAATGAAAAAGAGCGCATTCCCGTTATGATCCGAAGTTTAGCATCTGATGTACTTCAGTGCCTGTGAGACTTTATCGGCTCAACACTGATTATTGTCCATGTGCCAATGGGCAGTGCTCAATTATTAGTGGGCACCTTGTGATTTGAGACTGATCGGCGTTCATTAGCGTTGCCTAGTATGGGCAGGAATTGATGACATATGAGATAATCCAGTCCCAATCAGTAGGGTAAGACAATGATCGTCCTTGCATCAGACCTTACATACACTGATCGGGAGTGTCAAATGAGACCATTAGAGGCTGGGTGGCTGGCTATGGTCATTTCAACCTTGTAGTGTGTAGGTGAAATGAGCACATCGTAGTCCCAGGTGTTGTGATCGCCTTACTCCTTCAGAAATGGTAGGAGTTGGAATACTGGGGGCTCCCATCATGCAAGTCTTTATTGGAAGCAGACGATGGAGTCGGTGATGATGACAGACAGTTAGAGGCAAGCATCGATTACATTGATGTGAGTCTATAGATGAGTGAGCATCTTTGGTCGTGTTCGTGACTCATTATTAGGTCCTATTTCAGTAGTCTCGATACGCATATCCCAACGGATGGCGTAAGCTCCACATTCTGAAACGGACAATCCTATCCGTCATGTTGACGGCATTATAAAAATACATCCATTATCTCTGAACTATCAAAGGAGAAAAACTGGCGAGAGTGGAATAGTACAGTTGATGGTTTACCTGGAGACGGTTTTTGTGTCATCCTGTCATCTCCCAGTCAAGAAGCGCATTAAGGGCCGTGCCCCCAAATCATTGACCGCCAGTTCGTGATGGTAGGCGATAAGATAGCAAGCCCCACCGCGGACCGAAATCCAGTGCGCTGGGATTTAGATTTTGTTCGATCCAGACCCCTCCGCTTTATCTGTTTGCCACCATTCCACAACCAATCGGTATTCTGACCAGAAACCATGACGAATTGCTAGAGCCCGCTTCATTCAAGCTTCTATCCACCAGAGGCCATGTCTGCGCGGAAGGTCCCTTCGCCCAGCCAGCCCACCAGTCTTGGCCCACCAGAGGCCGCGACTGCCGGGCGAACCGCCGGGAAGGTTCTGATTCCCCGGGATCGATCGAGGATCGTACCGGCTAGCCCGAAGATACGTACCTCTCGTGCTTGTGATTCTTGTCGGCAGCGCAAGGCCAAATGCAATGGGGGAAAACCAACATGCACCCAGTGCGAGAAGTTCGGGATCGAATGCAGGTACTCAGAGCAAAAGCGGACCCAGGAGAAAAGAGAACTTGACATGTTGCGGGCGGCTATCAAGCGGCACGAGCGGATGCTGCAACTTATGTCGCTTCGCCCGTCCGGCACTGCAGTTTCCACCAGTGGAGAGGGTCCATATGTGAGCTTCATTATTATACCACTGATCCCTGTCACTGACGACCAGCTACTAATCCAGTCATGTAGGTTGTGGCTTTACCGCAAAGGGAAGGGCTAGCTACCCAGCAAACGCTGTCTGGTAACCTGGACCGCACGATGGAGCTTCTCCAAACCCAACTTCGTGAGCTGCATTATGTGTATCAGAATGTCCACGATTGTGACCCCGCAATTCTTCCTGCTGTAGTGGACACGATCCGCAGGAGTTCCTCGGTGCACGAGGCAGCCAGTCTACTGAATCGGCAGATGTCATCACAATCCCCGGGTATGACCCTGGAGAGGATGCAGAGGTCTTGGCTGACACGGCTCTCGGGAAAACCGGAGCTGGTGAACCGAATACCCCCGTACAGCGTGAATGCTGCAGAACGCTGGACGGCAATTGTTGATAACGCGGCCACTTCGCATCTCTTTTCTTTCTTCTTCGTTTGGGATAACCCAACATGGCATATCGTTGACCCGGTGTCATTCCTGGGTGATTTCCAGCGTGGAGGGACACACTTTTGCTCGTCACTCTTAGTCCATACTATTCTCTTTTATGCGTGTGTACGTATCCCATTCTCTTTATGACCTCGCTGACGGACTAGCACTTTTCATACGACTTTGAAAAGCCATGGGACCGGCGCATGGAGATGTCTACCGCCAGACGACTTCTGCGGGAGGTGGAACGCCTGTGGCAGTGCGATAAGATGAATATCTCTCTTCCCACCATGCAGGCAGCCCTTCTATTAGGGTTATTCTTCTGTGCTTCTGGTAAAGACAAGATTGGTGTTCAGTATATCCGGTATGGCGCACAAATGGGGTTGCAGCTGGGCTTGCATACCTCGTCGCCTGAGACAGGCCAAACCAATCCAGCAGAGGCAGCTCGCATTAGGCGAGTTCATAAACTCATAGCTAGTGCGGTCTACGAGGTGCAAACGTAAGTCCCTAAAGAATAAATATGCAAGGCAGCCACTAATTCAATAGTCTGTCTTTGCAATTGGCAAGGATACCGTCGGTATGGCCGGGGCCGTCAGAGCTTTTTTTATCTGAAGCAGAGGCAACGGCGGCGGATGTCAATCAACAGTGGTCACCATACCCATTCACTTATCCTGTTTACAAGCCCTTCTTCCATACGGGCCTATGGAGCAGACGGGACCTATTTGTTATTGTTAATGATGTGGCGGATTTGCAGCGGCAGCTCAGTGGACAAATAGATCTGTCTGGATGGCAGCAGGGTGCTGTACTGTATCAGAGACTTCTAAGCCTCGAGAGGAATCTTCCTGCTGTCCTTAGGGTGCAGCGGAATAGGACTCCCCACAATCTGTGTTTTCAGTGAGTGGTCCGAACGCAGTCACGGCTCTATGCTAACAAAAGAAGCATGTATTACCACATCACAACAGTCAACCTCTGCGGGATTTTCGTGACCCGTAGTAGCACCGGACTGACAGAAGAGCTGATACAATCCACTAAATTTGATCCACAGAGAGTACTAAGCGAAGCGATGGACTCGGTTGCGACATTAATATTGCTCTATCGGGTGTCCCATGGCTGGAAATCCATCCCAGTAATGATGGTTCACTACTTTATGGTGGCAGGTGTACACGCAGCCTCGCACTTGGAGTCGTCAAAGTGGCGCGAAGTGTTGGTCAGCTGTGTCTCTGGTCTCTGGCATATGGGCCTGGTTTGGAGGGTCTGTCGACCATTTTTGCGGACCATCCAGCTAGTACTCCGAAGCAAGGACGAGACGTTAATCCCCATCGAAGCAGTGTCGATATTGAGGGAATTCAACGAGAAGGTGTGGAATCAGAACGAGGTAAACGCGCTGGCCGCCAACTACGTGGTGCAACACCATCCCAGTCAGACACTTGCGCTGGACCACGACAAAAACTTCCAGGGAAAAGGCCTCGAGAGCTTGATACGAGATTTCGAGAAACTGAGCACGGATGATTAAGATGAGGAAGGATGAAGAGAGTGGGAGAATGAGAAGCGGAGGAAAAGTACCGGTCTGTATACGGATGACTGTAAAATAATGTTTGTTTATGTTTGACGATACGATGCAGTACACGAGCTATGAGAATATACGACTCAGGCAGCAATATACCTTCCACTTTCATAAATTTGACTTGTGTGCTTTCAGTCTAAAATGGTCTATTTGAGTCCAGCTCTTTCATGTACAACACAGCCGTCCCATATATACAAGGAGTTATATCATGTACATCCTCCACCATATCCACCAAACAACCGTCACTACGAAACCTCAATCAATTCATCCCCTACCCTCCTCGTCCACTCCATCCAGCTACCATCATACACCCTTCTGGATCCCTTCGCCCCAACCAACCTCAAAGCTAGATCTAGTGATGCAGCCGTAACCCCCGAATTGCACGTCAGAATATACGGCACTCCCTCATCTTCCTCCGCCAACGCGCCCGCATCCATCAAGACACCCCTCAATTTCTCAGGAGCTAGTATCATCCCAGTCTCATCTTCCAATAGACTAGCCAATGGCACATTGACCGCTCCAGGAATATGCCCGGACCTCAAACTTGGATTCATTTCCGGCTGTACACCTTGAAACCGACCTGGTATCCTCGCATCGACAATCCTCACCTTCTCCTGGTCCCTCCCAACAACAACGTCCTTTACCTCCTCAAACGCTATTACCCTTCCGGTATCAAGATCCTTCTCTTCCACGGCATACTCATCACCTTGTTCTCCTCTAGTTCCCATTATTGGAATCTCTATCCCCTCAGACCCGGAACCTACGGGCAGCTGCATCCGCACATACTGCCTGAAGTTATTCAAGACATGAACATCCTTATGCCCAAATAGCTCACACATAAACGCCAGTCGCGGGGCATGGTACGTGCCTATCTCATCTGCATCGTAGATCACTAGAATATCATCCTTGCGAATACCGAGGGCAGTCATTGCAGCAGCGAAGAGGGAAGGTGAGGGAAGCATGGAAGGGTAGGGAGAGGTGGTGTCGCGAATTTGGTCGAGGTTGAAGAACCTAATTGGCAATATATATCTATCAGTATGTGGTGGCGGGGTATATAAGGAGCGGGGAGATGGAGTACTTTGAGCCTGGAAGGTAGAAGGATTCGAAGGACGAGTGGAGCGTGGGACGGTAGGCTGCTAAGGGGACAATCCGCCTATGCTTCGCGGCATTGTATGTTTCCGCATTGTGATAAAATTCGGCGGGCGTTATGAGGGGAGATTTGAAGGGGTTCATTGCTCAAGATTGGGGAGTTGTAGATGGTGATGGATGAGGGGAGACATGAGGGGGATTGCCGTTATCGGAATATCAACTTGGGCATTGGTTATGCAGTTGTGCATATTTGTCAGCTATGCACTAAGGTACCGACTCCGCCCCTTCCGGTCGGGATAGCAAAAGAAAGAATGCGAGGTATGAGCTGATGAGGCAATACTACAATATATTACCAGTGTATTGACTTACGTTTGATATAAAGGTGCTGACAGGAGTAGTTTCAGTGAAACAAATTGTAATAGCACCAGGTTTCCCTTGTTTTGCGTTACCAATGACCTGAGCACTTGACCTAGTACTAGTACAAATACTTATTCACACGGATAGTATATATTTTTGAAAACGAAGACGGACGACTCGATCATACGGCTACCATTACTGTCATACTTGTTGCGAAAGCTACCAGTCAAATAAATATATGTATATACCCAAATCACAATGAAGATAAAGAATTGGAGAAAAAGAAATTGCAAGAGAGCAAAAAGTCAGGAGTGAAGCGAGGTGGGGAAAAAAGAGAAGTTAAAAAGAGAGGTCGTGCCCGGGATCGAACCGGGGTTGCCGGAAATCTGGTAAGATTCAAAATCCGGAGTGATAACCCCTACACTACACAACCAGATGCTTGTGAAAAGTGAATTTGCTGATGGTATATAAGTGCCATTTGTTTGCGAAGCGAATTGCAACTGCCCTGGAATTTACCAAAACAATTATCCACACCAGTTGTGATGAACAACCACATCTACGTACTATATCCACAAGGCTATGCCCATGCTTAGAGAGAATCTTTGCTCTGCCAAGACAACATTTAATTATTTCTCGTCGACATTCCGGAAAGCTCAATACCTCCAGGTGCCCTCTAAACTGATGATCTGTCCAAAAATTACACTGAGAAGGCAAATAAAATTGTGGTGGTTATGGCTTTGATCCTGTATAGGCTCTATGTGGACCAATAATGAATGTATTTGGTTGTGCCTGGAAAAAACACTCCGATGACGGCATTCCTTCGGGCCCAACAGCACAGCTGAGAGCGGCAATCCTTGACTGTTTGGGATAGGCAGTTAGCGCCGTCGATTCGCGCAATCTTGGGGCCAGATGGTGGGTTAACTCGCACATGACGGAATCTAGCTTTATTGGCTTGCTTGGTTATGCAAAAGAATGCACTCCCCGTAATATTGTTCTATTCAAGCCCGTTTACCTTGCATTTGAGTGTATCTTGGATGTTTGTTTACCTGGGTAAGATGCCCTTAAGGCTATTGTGCCTGGTCCCTGGAGTATCCACATCCAGCCGCACTCCACTCACGCCAACAAATGGCCCTAAACCGCCCGGTCGATGGCTTTAATGACGTATTTACCAGGATTAAGCAGCCCCCATTCTACCAGTACAGTCAGCTCCACTGTCCTCGAGCCACAACAATCTGCATCATACGGTGTTTAGCTTGCATAAAGCCAAGGACCCGGCCTAGAAGCTAGTGATGTAATCATGCACATCCAGGATCTGAATGATCTCGCAGCAGGCGGATATATCTTACCGTGGATTCCCTCCTAGTCACGATGTTTGTATCAATCCAACACCTGTCACTACCATCCAGGCCCAATTGACAGTTGCAGCCCTGGGGCTTCATACCGGTCTTTCATCATGAGGTTCCTTACAAGTCTCGTCGTTGCCACTTTATCCAGCACAACGGCATCCTACCAGTTCAATCCTCTTCACCATCTTGCCGGTATCGCTCCTTACTTCAGCTCTCATGATCCCCAGATTAATCCAGCTCCCCCCGCTGGCTGCAACGTCACACGCGCTGCTTATCTCGTCCGTCATGCTGCCATCTACGCCAACGACTTCGACTACGAGACCTACATCGAGCCGTTCGTCGAGAAGCTGCGCAACACAACACAAAGCTGGACAAACACCGACTCGCTCGCCTTCCTCGCCAATTGGACCGCGCCCATCACCGAGGACCACCTCGAAAAGCTGACTCGTGTCGGACTCCAAGAGGCAACAACCCTGGGCGTTAAGTTCCGCCAGCGATACCCTGACTTGCACACCGACAAAGTTTGGGCCGCAACTGCCGAGCGGACTACCAAATCTGCCCAGGGCTTCATAACCGGCTACACCAACAACAAAACGCACGTCGATCTTGTCAGCGTCGCACAGAGTGACACGACCGGCGCGGACTCCTTGACACCTTACAAATCCTGCCCAGCATACAGCTCCAGCTATGGCAGCACCTATGAAGATGTACGCCTATAGTCGCATCGCCCTTATTCCACCCAGCAAACTTAACTAACAGTATCCTAGGAATTTATGGAAACCTACACAGGCCCCATAATCAAGCGACTTAACGCCCTCGCCCCAAAATTCAACTTCACTTCCTCCGATGTAACCGCCATGTTTGAGCTCTGCGGCTACGAGACTGTGATTCGAGGCTCCTCACCATTTTGCGCATCCTCGCTCTTCACCAACAACGAATGGCTCTCCTTCGAGTACGCCAACGACATCATGTACTTCCACAACACGGGCTACGGCCGCCCTGTGTCGCCGGTGATTGGCTTTCCCTGGGTCAACGCCAGCTACAACCTCCTCTCCGTAGAGACTAGCGAGCAAGACATCTACGTCTCCTTCACACACCGCGAGGTACCGCCAACCATTGTTACAGCGCTGGGCCTGTTCAACAACAGTGCTTATTCGGGAGCGGATAATGTGAACGCTACTATGCCAACGAATGAGGTGAATTACGATCGTGCCTGGAAGAGCAGTAACATCTTGCCATTTTTGGGAAATATTGGAATCGAGCGGATGGAGTGCAGTGGTACCCAGAATGGTTTTGACGAGGGTGTGTACTTCCGGGTGTTGGTCAATGAGGCTGTTAAGCCGCTAATCGGGTGTCGGGATGGGCCTGGGGAGAGCTGTAGCGCGGAAACGTTTGCGGAATTTATTAGCGGGAAAGAGAAGAGGTTTGGGGATTTTGGCAGGATGTGTGGTAATTCTTCTGCTTTGGAGACTTTGGACATATATAATTAGTAGTGGTGGTAGTGGTATGCTGGTACTTACATCGGGAAGATTTATGAAGCACGTTCATAAGCGGAAATGCGGTGATTAATTGTAATAATTCCTACATGCGTCTCTAGAAACCATTCCAACACAGATGGATCTGACAAGAGCCCGAACACTCGATCCATCCCAAACTGCATATTCTAATCGAGGGCGCTACAGTCATGCTAATACCAAAGCAGTTCATAGTCTGAAGCATGACACCTTCTGCCCAGTACTACCACTGCTACTGAAGCAATGGAAGAGTCAATAGTGCTGAATAACCCCTTAGCGCAGTAGGACTAGCTCCTAAATCGATCACAGGATAAATCAACGAGCCAACTAAGCAGCCAATAGATTATAGTGTTACATCTTACGCATTATTCGAAACCTGGAGTGGGAAACAGCATGAGAATGACCGATTATGATTCGTGATGCACTACATCGCCGAGTTTATGTTGCAAACAGGCTTTGCTCGGGCACTTTAGTCCGGTCAAACTTCAGTCTGAACTAGATCCCGACCCAAGCCACAAACACGTAGACTTGGATAGAAGCTGAACACGCTAAGTAGAAGGCCCCATACAGGCCCTGTTTGAGCCAGAGGGAAAGGATACGTATACAATCAAGGTGAATAAGCATGTTGGAAGCAAAATGAACGAAGAACCGAGAGAAGATTGGCGATTCGCAGGCAGCTGGCCAGGCAGGTGCTACATTTTCTTCTCTTTTCAATACTGTGTATGACCACGCCTTGCTTTCATGGCATATTTACTGTTCAATATTATGAATGAGAATAACAAGGCTATCTCCATCTCAAAGGTTTGCTTCATTGTGCTCATAGTTCGGGACTTGAAAGTCTGAATAAAAAGTCTGACTGTCAGAGTATAGAGGGAGCCATACATGGCCTTTCGTATGTCACATAATACAATAAACAAACTATAGTGCAGAATATGGAGAATCGGTAATAAGCCTGGATAAATAGCGTAAAGCTTCCCAAGCACTAGAGCAAGAACCGGAATCCCTCTGCCACTGCCCGGCCAGGCAAGCCGTGTTCTTCATTCTCACGAGCCCGCGCGAGATCAACACCTTCTAATTCATCGAGCTGTTTATTCAATCTACCCAAATAAATGCGGAGGATGGTGGCAATTACGATTGTCATCGCAAGCAAAGCGATATTGACACTGAAGGCGGCGATATAACGAGGGGAGGCGGAGTCTATTTATCCCAACACGGATTAGTAGGTTGTATGTGGCTAGAGAAGCTGAAGCTTTGGACATACCGGGATAAAGGTATGGCATATAGATCTGGCACACATTACTGAGACAATTGATGAAGGCCAAGGCAGCGGCCCGTTTTGTGGCTGGGCGAGGAAGGACTGCGATCGTCAGTAAATGTAACTAGTCTCTTATCCTGCACCATAGATGCTTACTGTTTGAAATATATCCCAAAGACACTACGTAGCCTGCGTAAATGCCACCAAGCATTATACACATTGCCCTAGACCATCTTGTGTTAGTCATCTCGATTGGGAGGACCTATCAAGTAAGACTTACACATATCGGGCGGCGAAATTGTTGCCTGCCATAGCTAATATGAAAGCCACAATAGCAACGACAGGTGGGAGTGCTATATGAAGGTATCGCTCGCCTGTTCGATCCGCATGCCAGGCATGCACCAACACAACAAGGGTAGCGATAAGATATGGAGGTGTAGTCAGAAGCAAGGTATCAATGTTGTTTCGGCCAAGTCCGGCCATCACACTAGATGATAACAGTAAGTACCTGTAGACTGACGGAGAAACAGAATATAGCTCTTACCTGGGAAAGAAGGTTGTTACGCATCCGGCAGACGTGCAGCCGTAGATGACGCCTAGCATTAGCCAAGTCTTTATGTCCCTGTTGGCGGTGATGAGCTTGGTGACCAAAGCAAATGGAAGATTAAAGTACTTACGTGACGGCGAGCTTTGCA